TATATCCGGGTTTGGTCTAATTTATATAAATTAACACAGGCTCTAATTTGGGACCAGAGGAAATCTCTCTTATATACGGGTTTCTCTTATATCCGGGTTTGGTCTATTTTGTTTAGGTAAGTATGGGAACACTTTGGGACCAGAGAAAATCTCTCTTATATCCGGGTCTCTTACATCCGGGTTTAGTCTAATTTGTTTAGGTAAGTATGGGAACACTTTGGGACCAGAGGAAATCTCTCTTATATCCGGGTTTCTCTTATATCCGGGTTTGGTCTATTTTGTTTAGGTAAGTATGGGAACACTTTGGGACCAGAGGAAATCTCTCTTATATCCGGGTTTAGTCTATTTTGCTTAGGTAAGTATGTGAACACTTTGGGACCAGAGAAAATCTCTCTTATATCCGGGTTTAGTCTAATTTGTTTAGGTAAGTATGGGAACACTTTGGGACCAGAGAAAATCTCTCTTATATCCGGGTTAAACTGTATAATATTTTCATGTAATAATTCTTTTTGAAATTACAACGTGGTTCCTTGAAAATCTTCTTATCGAGTCGCTACACCGCACCCATCCAATATTGAACACAGAGCCTTGCCTTGGGTGTTAGGATTTCAATATTGTTACGGGTGTAAGAATCTTCAAGACTGGGGCAGACTAGAAGATGTTCCATAGTTTGTAATTGCCCGAATTGGCAGTTGGGATACTCGTCGGTGGCAAATACCTATTTCTGAAGGTTGGTTCGGAAAGGGAACGGAAGAGCTAGTAATCATTGGAGCTAGTGGAGGAATGATTCTGTATGGCTCGGAAAGAGAGTGAGAAAGAGAGACCGTGTTTCACGTTGTTAAGTTGGATACACCACAGGGACAGACGCTGACGAGGAACTATGTTGTTCAGTGGTTCGACTTGACTTGAGCCTCTTTGTCACTGGCCCACAGCCGTGGAGTGGATGGCAAGGGTCAGTTTCCTGCGTCAACTTCTCAACTGTCCTTCTGATGTAAGGCAGGGGGCAATGCCGCTAAGCATGTCGAGGTCATCTACTTCAATCGTCTTGAGACACCCACTGATTGATCTGTAAGAGGCGTTTAAGGCAGGGAGTGGTCCACCAAAGGAAAGGACTCCGTCAGATGAGTTCCCTCATTCGAGTAAAAGTCTAGTTGTGTTACGTCTCATGAATGTTAAACAACAAAAATTATTCACCCAAAAAATTGTCCCTGTTTTTTTTGGGGGGGACGAGTGAACTATTCATGTTACAGTACGCGTTTCTTGAATAAAGTGACGAATTAAAATAAAATCCTTATTTGAAAATTATCATGATTAATTAACGGCCTAACGGCAAACCTGAATTACGTTGTTATGAATAATTAAGAGTTGCCTCCCCTTGTTTTGTTACTCTCTTTTTTGAGGGAACTATTTCTGTTTAATGGGACTATAAAAGGACACTGTACGCGAACCTTGTATTCTCAGTTGAATAAATCTTTCTTAAAGCCTACACCGGCGTACTTTTGTGATTACATAGGCCCCCTCTTCTCGATCAGGAAAACAACATAAAAAAAAACACTGTCAAGTGTTTGGTGGCAATAAAATAAGCACATCCCATCTCCTCTTTCGCTTGTAACCATTTATCATAATAAAATCAACAATGAAGCAAAATAGAGTCAAATAAAGATTCTAATTAAAGTTGTTATTATGTCACATGCTTCAAGTAAAAGTCTAGTTGTGTTACGTCTCATGAATGTTAAACAACAAAAATTATTCACCCCAAAAATTGTCCTTGTTTTTTTTTGTGGGGGGGACGAGTGAACTATTCATTTTTAGGGTTCACTTAAACCTGACCAAAAGCGCTTAAATCAAGAGCAAAAATCACTTTGACATTTAGAGGAATTGCTGACAAGCAAATATTATAACAGCGGTTTCGTTTCCTTTCGGAAAATATTTAAACCGAGCCCCGAAGAAGATACACTAAAGTTGTAAGCAACAACATTTCTGTTTATTATTTCAAGACTAAACGGCTCTCCGACTTTATGCCCAATAGTAGAAGTCTAATGAACTACTGGTGGCCAAGAGGGTTCAGTTCTGCTATGATTTAAAGTAATAAATGATTTATGCCCAATAGTAATGAACTACTGGTGGATCAGTTCCTATGATTTAAAGTAATAAAGTGATCTGACTTTATGCCCAATAGTAGAAGTCTAATGAACTACTGGTGGCCAAGAGGGTTCAGTTCTGCTATGATTTAAAGTAATAAAGTGATCCCCGACTTTATGCCCAATAGTAGAAGTCTAATGAACTACTGGTGGCCAAGAGGGTTCAGTTCTGCTATGATTTAAAGTAATAAAGTGATCCCCGACTTTATGCCCAATAGTAGAAGTCTAATGAACTACTGGTGGCCAAGAGGGTTCAGTTCTGCTATGATTTAAAGTAATAAAGTGATCCCTGACTTTATGCCCAATAGTAGAAGTCTAATGAACTACTGGTGGCCAAGAGGGTTCAGTTCTGCTATGATTTAAAGTAATAAAGTGATCCCCGACTTTATGCCCAATAGTAGAAGTCTAATGAACTACTGGTGGCCAAGAGGGTTCAGTTCTGCTATGATTTAAAGTAATAAAGTGATCCCCGACTTTATGCCCAATAGTAGAAGTCTAATGAACTACTGGTGGCCAAGAGGGTTCAGTTCTGCTATGATTTAAAGTAATAAAGTGATCCCGACTTTATGCCCAATAGTAGAAGTCTAATGAACTACTGGTGGCCAAGAGGGTTCAGTTCTGCTATGATTTAAAGTAATAAAGTGATCCCCGACTTTATGCCCAATAGTAGAAGTCTAATGAACTACTGGTGGCCAAGAGGGTTCAGTTCTGCTATGATTTAAAGTAATAAAGTGATCCCCGAGTTTATGTCCAATAGTGGAAGTCTAATGAATTACTGGTGGCCAAAGGTTCTCTGAAGATGAGAATATTTAAAATGAACCTTTAGAAGACACACTTGGCTTTTGAACAAGCAGCAATTTGAGTAAAATGCTGGAAGATGATCATAGAATGACAATGTCAGCTCTTTCTGCAAACGAGGCATCTTGTGTAAGGAGTGATACTCATTATTTCAATTTGACAAGAAACGTGTGCATAGTATTGCTTGCTTGCGACAATTATTTTTGACAGCATGGGTAAACTCCTACGTAAAATAAATGAATATATATATATATATATATATATATATATATATATATATATATATATATATATGGATATATATATATATATATATATATATATATATATATATATATATATATAATTTCGTATAATTTTATATATCAACAAACAGTATTTAGAAAAATATGACAAACTAGAAACAAAAACTTTTCCAGTTTGTTATATATATATCTATATATCTATATATCTATATATAGATAGATAGATAGATAGATAGATAGATAGACATAGACATATGTATATGTAAGTATGTATAAATAAAAAGAAAGAACAGTAAGATATATAATCCGGTGTTCTTATAGATATTTTTCTTTTTACAAAATAGTGCACAATGTAAATTTACAGAGCATTATACTTATAGTTGATATGAAAATAACTCTACATACTGTAAGGGATTCTAATACATTTACTTGTTCTTAAAAGAAGTATAGTATATTAAAAATTAGTAGTGAAAATATTTTTCAAATTGTAGTTAAATAAAACGTATTCTAACCTGAACATCCCACCCCGCAAAAAAAAATCTTTAAATATACAAATAGAAAAAATGCCGTAAGAATTTTTGCCGTGAACAATAAAATTTTAAAAAATCCAGACGACATGCATTTAACGGATGTCAGATTTCATTGAAAAATACATCCCTACCCGCTACCAAAACGTAACTAATAACGGATACATCAAAATACAGACATAAAGAACACGCAAACACCCCTTGTCTAGTGGAAGTGGATTTCTCTGTAACCTTGGAAATGTGAATTATGATTTTAGCTGTGTATTTAAAAGCCCGTAATTTTAAAAGTTACTCCAAAATTCGCTTGAGGATGAAATGGAACGAATGTCTTTAATTTAATTACAAAATTAAATTCGGGCCTTCCATTTTTGAAACATGGTTAGAACTGTGTAGCGGAAAAACCATATTTTAAATCAATTAATATATATATATATATATATATATATATATATATATATATATATATAATATAAAAGGCTCAAAACCCTCTCCCAGGCCTAGGTCAGATGATATGGATCGTGATTACGATTCCAATGTAATAAATTATAACCATGGAATATCAGTGTTTGAGCCTTTTATATTATATTCTTACTCTGACCTGGACATTGAGTTCTACCTGCATTCTATCCTCTTGAGAATTTTTTTTTTTTTTTGTAAGTGTTTTCCAGTAAAACACTTACAACAAAAGAATTCGTGGATTTACCAAATTACAAAATTCATATAAAAAATTCTCACTTAAAATATTTGAATTTTAGCGTTGCGACTTTCGGTCTACAACACAATTATTTCGTCTTCAAGTTTTGATTTTAAAGGAAGAAATTACAGCCTGATGATGAGGACATGAAGTCCTTGAAAGTACTTGCTGCTCTAAAAAAATACACCAGATCCATCTGACAACAATTTTATATATAAGGATCACATCATTCAGTGGCTTGTTATTAGTTTAATGCTTATATTAAGTCTGTTAGCGAAGAGATTTCGACATTAATTGCATTAATATTGCTAATTGATTCAATGTATGATTATCTCTTTTAATATAATATATATATATATATATATATATATATATATATATATATTGACCATGAATGTTATCTCTCTCTCTATATATATATATATATATATATATATAGAGATAACACATTCGTGGTCTCGTATATATATATATATATATATATATATATAGAGAGAGAGAGAGAGAGAAGGAGAAAGATAGACAAATACAGAGATAAAGATGATGTGCAGCTTGAAATATCCGAGATAATGGTATTATTTTGCGAGACAAGGAGATGGAAAGATTTCTTCTGGTGATTAAGTAAACACGATAATGGATGGATGACCCCAGCTCTCCTTGCAAGGGCAATGAAACCTATTTCTCTATTTTTCATCGATTTCTTTATGGAGGGCAAAATTGCCCAGCAAAAAAAAAAAAAAAAAAGAAAAAGAAAAAAAGAAAAGGATCTTCAAATGTGAATTCAGTCTTGTGTTTTCAAATAAGGGCGCAGTGAACCTTTATGCACACCGTGAAGACATTATCGCAGTTTTTCCGTATCTATCCGAATCTGTTGGTCTCTATCTTATTCTCTTCATCTCTCTCTCTCTCTTTCTGATTTTGTTCATCGCTTTGTTTTCATTTTTTTTTTCACTCTCTACATCCAATCCTCATATTTCTTATCCCCTCTTTTTTCTCACTCTATTCATCTCAATCGATCTCTCTTTACTTCTCTGTTCATGACTCTCCCCCTTTTCCCTTGCAGTCCTCATTCCTCTCCCCTTTCCCTTGCAGTCCTCATTCCACTACCCTTTTCCTTTGCAGTCCGTTTTCATCTCAATCAATTTCTGATTATGTCACCTGCCTCATTATACATTTCTTTTTTCTTTTCATGTCACCCTATCGCCATCTTTTCCTCATACCCACTCTTTCCACATTGTTCATCTCTCTTTTCTCCCTCTAATCCTCTGTTCATGTCTCTCACTCCCTCTCTCTGCTCCTCAGTTCATGAAACTCTCTCTCTCTTTGCTCCTCTGTTCATGATCTTTTCTCTCTGTTCCTCTGTTCATGACTCTCTCTCTCTCTCTGCTCATCTATCTTCGGTCATCTCTCTCCTTGTGCTCATCTCTCTCTCTCTCTCTCTTCTCTGTTCATGTCTCTCTCTTCCTCTCTCTGCTTCTCTCTTTATGTCATTTCCTCTCTCTGCTCTTCTGTTCACAACCCATTCTCTCTGCTTCTCAGTTTATGTCTCTCCCTCCCTCTCTTCCTCTCTCTGCACCTCTCTTTATGTCATTTCCTCTCTCTCTCTTCTGTTCTCTCTCATTCTCCTCTCTTCATGTTTATGTCTCTCTCCTCCGTTCTTCTCTCTCTCTGTCTCTCATCTTTCTATCTCTCTCTCTCTCTCTCTGTACTCATCTCTCCCTCCCTCTCTCTCTCTACTCCTCTGTTTATGACCCTCTCTCTCTTTTATGTCTGTCTCTCTTTCTCTGTTCCTACGTTCATCTCCTCTCTCTGCTTTTCTCTTCATGTCTCTCTCTCCTCTCTGTTCCTCTGTTTATGACCCTCTCTCTGCTTTTCTCTTCATGTCTCTCTCTCCTCACTGTTCCTCTGTTTATGACCCTCTCTCTCTGCTCATGTCCTCTCTCCACTTATCATGTCTTTCTATCCCTCTCCTCTCTCCCTCTCATTGACCCTCTCTCTCTCTCTCTCTCTGCACACCTCTTGATGTCTCCCCCTCTCTCTTTCTGCTCCTCTCTTTATGAGCCTCCTTCTCTCTCTGCTACTCTATTCTTGGCCCTATGTCACTCTCCGCCCATCTCTCTCTTTGCTCATTTCTCTCTCTCTCTCTCTCTCTCTCTGCTCGTCTTTCGCGAGAAAAAGTAAAAAAAACAATAAAGGAACAGGATGACATAAGACAGAAGATGACGATTGGCGCTGCATTTAAATTTTTGAAAACTGTTGGTGACAGGGAAGCAAGGAATCGAAAGAGAGTTCTAAAAGCGAAAAACGCGCGAACAGAAACTCTTAGAATAAAACTGACGGTTGCTACGATCATGTTCAACAATAAAATGGTGAGACCTAATTGCCAATCTAGTAGTACACTTCATGCAATCGAGTCACTAAGGAGAATAACCCAGCAGAAAAGTTGCCATGAAAAGTACTTGTAGAACAATCAGAAAGAAGCCACGTCACGTCACGTCGGTGAGAAATTGACTGGAGTCGAGTTGCCAGGTCAGGATCGATTACATTGCAGATCCTTCTACGAATATGGTCAAGATTCTCAAGATATATACAGGGTGACCCCAAAATGGGAACTTTTTAACAATCCAATAAAACCAAGAGTGATGGAAGTGAAGAAAAATATTTTATTCATAGTAATTGAAACCTTAAAACATGCCATTTAAGAAACAATAATGGAATTTTCATTTTTTTTAAAATTACGTCCTGTAGATGGCGTCCTCCTGTACGAATGCAATCTTGAAATCTGCTGTTGAGATTCCTCATTGACTGCTGCGTCATCTCAGCTGGGATATTGTGAATTTCATCTTGAATTATAATTGGCGAAATGTTTACTTGCTCAAGGTCACTGTCTCGCAGTGTTGCCACTTGCTCATGTCTGGCAATACGCACTTCAAAAGTTCCCGTTTTTTTGGGTCACCCTGTATATATATATATATATATTATTCGACTCTCCCGTCGAATTCGACGTATGAGGGTCAAGCAGATCAGTTCCTAGGAAACCGACAGCTCGACAACAGCACATGAGATTTGATTATAGTGGTGAAGGTTTCGTGCAG